CCTTTCATGATCACAAGTGGTCAGGACCTCCGTTCTCTATTTTTGTGAAACATGTCACTTCCATCAACATAATAGTCCCTCTACCACTAGCTCAATACTGACAGGAATAATGCCATCTACTGAATCACCTACACCATTTCCTATAGCCTTAAATTGTTCCTTGGAGGTCTTCCATGCATTCCAATTCAGTTGAACCTATGATATCCTATAGAATCACAGTAATTAGAATTTTTTAAAATTAAAATCATAGGGGATGAAACTCATAGTTCCTGCATATCCCCCCTTGCACGTTGTTCGACAACAGTGGTGCGCAAACTCTTACAGTTGTACCCCCCCTTACCAATAAGGGAATCCATCCATGCCCCCTTCCATTACAGCACAGCTAAGGCTTCCGCAGCAGCAGAACTTGGGCTGAAGGCAGAGTTGGGGGCAGAACTGGAGATGGGGTAGGAGCTGGGGCTTGAGATGGAGCTGGCCTGGGGACGGAGAGGGAATGAGGGCAGAGATGGTCTATGGGCGGAACTGCGCCTGAAGGCAGAGTGGGGCTGAAAGCATGGTGATCCCTCCCTGGCACATGTGGGGGCTGGTCTGGGCCTCACCGTGTGCCCCCCTGAACATTCATCTGTGTCCTCCTTGAGGGGCATGCCCCACAATTTGGGGACCACTGTTCTAGAAGCATGAGGAGGTAATCACAGTGGTAGGGTCAAACAGCTGCCATAAACTGAATGGAAATCTTGAAACCTATGCAGCCCCCCCCCCCTTGCTGGTATCAAGGTTGGAAGAGCTGGTACTGCAAGGGAGTCTGGAGCACTTTCCCTGCCCAGACATTTTACTAACAGCCAGAGGAGGCGCAAACATGCTCTGAACCCCTACACAAGCCTGTGGAGACTAAGGAGAGAGCACTTACCCAGGGATCGCATCACTGACTGAGATGGAAAGTTTTTGAGACAAAGAACCCTTGTTAATATTTTGGCATCATATCACTGAGCCATACAAATGATGGGTAGGTAGTGGGCTGAACTATGCAGAAGAATGGTTTTCATGTTAGGTCAACCCACCCAAAAAGCAGCTCCACAACTGAGAGGAGCCCTAAGAGTCTATTTAACTGCAGTGTAAACTTTAGGGCTCGGGCTGGAGTCTGGGCTTTAGGACTGTAACCCCTTAGGCTGAGCCCCACGAGCATGAGTCAGTTGGCATGGGCCAGCCATGGGTGTCTAATTGCAGTGTAGACCTACCCAATGGGTCTTACAGCTGATACAGTTTTTGCTGTAATTATTTCCTTTTAAAAAGATAATTAAAAAGGAAATCAAAATACCTGTTGCAACTTTTCATTCTCCTCCATGTATTTTCTGGCAGCTTCATTAGTATTTGCTACTTGAATTTCCATAGCTACCTGAATTCCCATCTCTTTGGCCAACTGAGTAATAAGGGTGACAGTACGTCTCAGTACACTGAGGAAGAAACAGTGAGAATTTAAGCATTATTATTTTTTCTCATAGGATTCTTTGCTTTCTGTTAAGATTTATTTTAGATGTAAAGGTGAACAAAATACTTCTATAAATAAATTTAAGAGAGACTGTTTAGGATCTTAAATTAATAGGACACATGCATAAGCTTAATGTTGACAAATAGTTAAAATTAGAACTTGAAAAGTGAAAAACCTTTCAGGACCTGAATTCCAGTTCTGAGTGTCACCTGTTCCAAAGGATAACATTACACATATTTAAAAAATGGGGCAGGGACCTCCATGGCTTACAAGGTTGAAGGTGCTTGTGCTGTTATTTAATGTCATAGGAGAAACATAGAACCATGAACTCAAGATTCAGGTGCTAAGATATTATGGCAATAAACATGGTATAAGAACCTTTGTAGGAGGCAAGGGTAAAAGCACTTTTCAATTTCATTTTAAAATGTATTTGTAATTTTTGCATATTACTTCCTATGCATTCTATTGATGATTTTGGATCTAAAACATTTGTTTTGTATTAACACAAGTAATAAAATACAAAAACACACGTACACAAAAATGTGACAAAGTCTGAGAGTTTTTCATTTTATAGCGATGATTACTCCCAAGATATCCAAATAGGACAGCTCCCCATAATTCTGACCGGGAACACACTCCAATTTCACCTCCCTACCAATGCTTCAAGAGAACACTTGAGTCCAAGTGGTATAATTCAGGTTCTCAAAGATCCTCTTTATTCTGAACACACACAAACTTCCACTTCATTTTGATGCATCTTTCTCTCCTTACATTACCAGAGCCTTTCGGCAATACGTTACTGGTTCAGTTAAAGCCCAAGGCAGCAGTGAGCGAAAATTATTTTTGTAAGATGGCTGCCTGGATTCACAAATCAAAGTGGTTGCCTCATCCTTGTTCTGGTGAGAAGCATTAACAGACCTGTTAACCTTTTAGGCCTGG